CACACACACACACACACACACACACACACACACACACACACACACACACACACACACAACACACAGCAGCCTTGTTCATTGTAAGCATTCCGTCATAGACGCAAAGGGGTTTGGCAGCTTTACAATGTGGTATCGGTGGCTGTGGCTTTTGTGCAGGAGTTGTGTATTTGTTTATATTTTCATTGCATCTACCTGTTCTCTCTAGATTTTAGTTGCAAATCAAGAAACTCATTGTTACAAAATATTTCTGTGCTCCTAATAATCAATTATTCAACTGTGAATTTTGCCTTAGCCATAACTGTGCTGTTGTCATTGTCCTTCCTATGCTTGCTAAAGGCTGATTGCTGTCACCACACAAGATGGTCTCTGCACTAAAAACACATAAAGCTATAGAAGTATGGTTGTGTTGCTGTAGGTTTTTGCTTTTATGTTGTTTTGATTTCATGTGGCTTTCTTTGCATTGGACTGTTAAAGTTTTTTTTTTTCCTCGTTTGATTACATTTTCTTTGCTTGTTTTATTATTATTTTTTCAACCAAAACTATGTCTCTATATATGAACAATATTGTGTGCATTTCTTCTAAACATCAAAAACAGAAATAAGTCTGAGCAGGTAGACCTCTCTACAGTTATCACTGGCAGCAGTGGGCAATCATTACCCCGAATGCCACAGGTAGTGAGAGGACACCCTTGACCATCACCATGATAAGCATTTTTTTCATATTGATGCCTGTATTTAAAAACTTATCTGCTGCTTTCTTCCCTCCACAAGCCTCCATAGTGACCGTCATTCGACTGGTCAATGATGCAGTCGACACAATCGAAAGTGAAGGTACCATGTTTCATCCCCTTTGTGTCTCTTCTCTCACTCTTCCCCCCTTCAGTTTTTTCAGTCTTTTCATTGCAGTATCTCTACTAAAGAGGTGTCTTCAACTAAATGAGCTCCTATTGTGTGTTACATACTCTTGGCCACTGGACATAGATCAGCTCCCAACATATCAGGATTTCTGAATTATTTATTTTCTTCTCTCAAACACATTCTCACAGTCAGTGGTTAGTCAGTCTAACCCACTTCCAGGTTAGACTCTGTTTCTTTAGCTCTTAGTTTTTAGTTTGTTTATTTATAGGACAATGATGGCTATCCTTGTTCTACTGAGGGCCAACATTATGCAGAGTGTCATTTCAACTTATCACCTCAGCAGACAATTTCACAAATGAGTTCTGCCCTTCTACTGTATTCCTTCAAGAAGTTTTAACCAGATTGTAATGAATACCTGCAGTATATTCATGGAATATGGTTGACCAATCATTGGTTTATTTTAGGTGATATAATGAGGTCCCTGTTCACAGGCATGTTCTGAGTTCTTAAACCTCAACAGTGAGCTGGAAAGAAGGTTTTGGAAGAGAACACAAATTTACAATTGGCATTGCACCACAAAAGAAAACTTACAACCTATATTTTTCTCCATGCTGTATCACTACATTTAGACCAGTAGACATACTAGTCCACTGCTAAAGGCTTCTGTGTTTTGTTGTCTGACAGTATCAGTTATGGACCAAGGTCAAACCTACAACTCAGGTGACTACCAACCCCCCCCCTACCGTTCCTCTATCCCACTCCTTCCTGTTCATCTGTCCGTCTGTCTATCTGCAGCAAGTAGACAAAATAACAGTCACACAACAAAAATAATCTGAATTCTGCAGTAGCAAAATTTACAGTGTAAATTCTCCTAAAAATGTATGTCATAATAGACTACATGTCAGTGAGCAGCATTTAAAAAAAATACTAATAAAATTAATTAAACAGTGTTCAATAATTGTTAGGAGTTTCAATAATTATTAATTGTTGTTTGTTGTGAAAGCATTTTAAGTTTGTGTTTAGCAGAATTTGCTATGAATTTTTCAAGACTCATATTGTCTTATACTCTTATGAATATTTTGAATTGCCGATTTATCATCAGAGCGCAATAATGACAACATAGGTCAGTCATGGTACTGAAGTATTTAATTTGCCAATCAGTTGGTACCAGTGTTAATACTGGTACCTGGCTATGATTACGTTGAGTTAAAGTCATTCGAGAAAAAAAAGAAAAAGTATATCTGTTTTATTCAAGGGGCTGCAAGGTGGATCGGTGGCAGCTAGAAGATCCCCGGTTCATGTCCCGGTGAGGACACCCGGGATCTTTCTGTGTGGAGTTTGCATGTTCTCCCCGTGCAATGTGGGTTCTCAACGGGTTCTCTGGGTTCCTCCCACAGTCCAAAAACATGTTGAGGTTAATTGGTGATTCTAAATTGTCCGTAGCTGTGAATATGAGTGTGCTTGGTTGTCTGTCTCTAAGTGTGGCCCTGCCATAGATTGGCGACCTGTCCAGGGTGTCAACTGCCTTTGTCCTATGTCAGCTGGGATAGGCTCCAGCCCCCCGCGGCCTTAGTGAGGATTAAGCGGTGTATAGATAATGGATGGATGGATGTTTTATTTAGATTTTGATAATATTGATTTTTTTAAAATTGTTTTCATCAACAAAAAGCCTCATTATTGTTTTTTATTTTTTATATCCAAGCACTTTGAAGTGACAGCTTTTGCCAGCTTTGTGTACAGTTACCGTGGTTACAGGAGCAATTCAATGCTTTGCAGAGATACAACAGACAAATTCCTCTCTCTCTCTCTCTCTCTCTCTCTCTCTCTCTCTCTGTCATCAGATGCTGCAGCTTACTAAATAAAACACAATTTGTTAATGAAAAGAGTCAGACATCTCATCATGGAAATATTACATTTTATTTATTTTTAGTATAATTTTTGTCATGGAAAATAGGCCTTCAATTAATATTTTTTGTCATTGTTTCACTAAAAACATCTCTCATCTGTACTCATACTAATAATGTATAATCAAAAACTGAACTCTCATTTGCAAATGTATTAAATGTAAAAGTCAGTACAGAGATGCTTTGCTGTTTCATTCCAAACTGCAGTCAGGTGCAGCCTGCTTTCCTTAATCATCCATTAGATGTGTCTAGACTGGAGTTGAAATTTACCTGTGGCAAACTGAATCAATTGGACATTGTTTAGGAAGCATACATATGCTTGTGTATGCAATTCTCCCTGCATGTCAAGACAAAAAACAGACTAGGAATTTGAAGGAAGTCTTTGTAAACCTGTCCAATAAATTGTGTTGTGGCCACACATCAGGGCAAGGATATTACTAAAACCTTGACTGTTCTCAGCACAATGTACTCACTAATTATAATATGGAAAAAGATTGGAACAACCAGAACTCTTCCTAGAGTTAATTGTCTAACCAAACAAAGTAACAAAGCAAGAAATAGTAGTGTGCTGGAAGCCCATTTTAAGCATGAGTGGCATGGTGGTAGAGTGGATAGCACTGTTACTAGAAGGTCCTTTATTTTGAATCTGGGGTCTTTCTGTGTGGAGTTTGCATGTTCTCCCTGTGTTGGGTGCACCCAGCTTCCTGCCACAGTTCAAAACCATGCAGGTTGATTGGTGATTCTAAAATGAGTGTAAGTTTGCATGGTTGTCCATCTTTGTTAGCCCTGTGATAGACTGACAACCTGTAGATAAAGCGGTGTATACATAATGGATGGGTGGTACGGC